ATGTATAGGTACAGTGGCTCTCCCTCGACTGGTTTTGCAAGCACGGGCGGGGTGGCGAGGTAACTTTTTAACTCCTGGAAAGCCCGCTCGCATTCCTCCGTCCACTCAAATTTCTTATTGCCCCGGAGTGTGTCGTAGAAAGGCAAGCATTTATCCGTCGATCTTGAGATGAATCGGTTTAGCGCGGTGACGCGCCCAGTAAGTCGTTGTACTTCTCGTTTGTTCTTGGGCGATGCCATCTGGATCAAGGCGTTGATCTGCTTCGGGTTTGCTTCGATTCCCCGGTTTGTCACCAAGTATCTGAGAAACTCTCTGGAGGTTACTGCGAACCGGCACTTCGTTGGATTTAACTTCATGTTATGTTGATTTAGCTGGGCGAAGCAGTCTCTGAGGTGGGTGACGTGATCCTTTTCCTCAAGTGACTTCACCAACATATCATATATATATACCTCCATTGTTTTTCCGAGTTGCGCGGCAAACATCTTATTCACCAATCTTTGACAGGTCGCTCCAGCATTCTTGAGCCTGAAGGGCATTACCTTGTAACAGTATATGCCTAGGTCCGTTATGAATGCTGTTTTTTCTCTGTCGTCGGGATTCATCAGGATCTGATTATATCCAGAAAAAAGCATCTATAAACGAGAGGAGTTTGTTGCCAGCAGTTGCCTCGACGAGGCGGTCTATGTGAGGTATCGGAAAGCTGTCTTTTGGGCACGCCTTGTTCGGATCCGTGAAGTCTACGCAGATCCGCCATTTTCCATTCTTCTTTTTTACTACTACTGGGTTCGCGAGCCAGTCGGGATACTTTGCCTCGGCAATAGATCCCACCTTCAAAAGTCTGTTTACTTCGTCGTTAACCGCTTTCGCTCGCTCCGGCCCGAGCTTCCTTCTCTTCTGCTTTACGGGTTTGAAGGTCGGATCGACATTCAGTTCGTGGCAGGTAACATCGATGCTGATCCCGGGCATGTTTTATGCGGCCCATGCAAAAGTGTTAATGTTCTCCTTTAAGAAGGAGGTCAGCTCGGTTTTTAATGTCTCGTCCAGCTCGGCTCCGATTTCTATGCATCTCTCCGGGTTCGCCTCGTCTATGCACACCGAGATTACAGAAGCACATCTCGGCTGTTCCCCCTCTCCTTCCTCCGACTTCTGTAATTGCTATAAAAGTCTCGACCGCCTTAGCTTTGCTTCGCGGTTAGTCTTGATCTTCTTACGCTCTGTATCTCCCTTCGTCTCGGTCTTGGGATTTCTGAGTTTGTGTTCGGCCATGAAGCATATCCTGGACTCCTTTTGGCTTCCCCAGATCGTTTTTATCCCGTTCGGGCCAGGGAATTTCAAGCACAAGTGGTAAGTCGAGGCGACAGCTCGCATAGAATTAATCCACGGCGTTCCCATGATGATATTATAGATCGCCGGGCTATCAATGACTGTAAAATCAACGATCCTAGTCACGTCTCTGACTCGGACAGGCAACTTAATGGTTCCCAGCGTCATTATCGTATCCCCAGCGAAACCAGTCAGAGGAATCGGGGTCACCTTGACTTCGGACATATCGACTCCCATTTTGACTAGGGTATCTCGAAAGATAACATCTACGGAACTTCCGGTATCGATGAGGACTCTCGCCACGTCATGATCTTTCACGATCAGTTCGATGATAAGCGGGTCGTTATGCGGCCTGTCGATGCCCGTAGTTTCGCGTTCTTCGAAGGTGATGATATCGTTTGGATTTTTCGTTGGTGCGGACCAGTTGATGCTCGCGTCGGCTCGCCTTTGAAAGGACTTGATCGTGGAGATAGTGTCTCGGCAATATTGTGATCCGCCCATGATCATATTTATCCTTTGTCGTGTCCCCGGTTCAGTTTCCCTGTCATTCTTCCGATTACGCTTCGGGGTTGCACGTGGCCTCGCCTCGGGATCTCTCCTCGCCTCGGGATCTCTCCTCGCCTCGGGATCTCTCCTCGTCTCGAGGCCTTTTTCTTCTGGAGCTGGTTCGTCTCGTTGCTCTGCTTCCATCGTGATTTCTCCTTCGAGGTCCTTCAATGTCACCGCGTCGCCGAGCTCTCCTGCTATAAGTTTCTCCGTGAGTTTCGCTCCGATTTTTCGGCACTTTGACGTCGGATGTCCGTAGGTCTTGTGCACTTCGCAATATGCTTTTTCGTTATATGAGTTCGGGTTTCTCGTCCAGGTATTACTCCACGGGAGTTTGCCTCGGCCAGTGCCTATTCGATAGTTATGGGTTCCGCGGAAGTTTGGTCCTTCATGGTGTACGTACGAGTTGCTCTGGTAACTCTTCTTCTGGGATGGTTGGCTCGGTGTCGCGACTTGACTCTTGCCACTCGCCTTCCCTGAACCAAAGCGTTGGTCTAAAGTTTTGAATTCCTCTTCTTCCAGTATGAAGTCCGAAGCGCGGTGCATAGCATCCTGGATAGTTTGCGGCTTGTTTCGGCTTATTTCCTTTCTAAACTCCGACTTATACCAGAGGGATTTTCTCAAAGCGACGAGTGCTCCCTTATCGCTTACATTTTCCACTTTAAACATCACTGCTTTGAAGCGTCCCCTGAACGCTCTTAGTGATTCGGTCGGTCCTTGGAACAAAGTCCATAGGTCGGCGTCTGAAACGCCTTGGTTCATGAACATGGAATATTGTTTCATGAATTCCCTGGTCAATTTTTTGAAGTTGTCGATTGAGTTCCGTTCTAATCGCGAGAACCATTCAAGAGCTGCTCCTTGAAGGCTTTCTACAAAGAGAAGGCAGAAGCCAACATCTCGCTCAGGCTCCTTGAATTTGGATCTTGCCATCGCGGTGTTGAACGATCTGACATGCTCCTTTGGATCGGTCGTTCCTACGTAAGTGGGTAGTCGAATTTTTCCAGGGTCGGATACTCTCGCTTCCGTGATCCAAGTGGTGAATGGGGTTTTTTGGACTTCCTCTAGCAGCAAGTCTATCTCCGGCGCCGCGCTGGTTGTCTTATGCACCTCGGATCTGATGGCTCGCACCTCGGTATTCGCTCGTGCTAAAGTGGCTCGGATCTCACTAAGGGCATCTCCTCCTCGACTCCCTCGACCGTGTTGGGTAACGTTGCTCCGATTTGCGGTTCTGTGCTCTGCAGGGTATCGTGCTTGACCGCCCCATGCGAGGTCTTCGTCCTCCTCGTCCGAGTCGTGCTCGAGATCCGCGTCGCCGACATCCCCTTCAGCTCGGATCTGCATCGCCGTGGTATTGTTTGCATCAAGTTGGGTCGGGTCCGTCTGCGTCTCCTCGGCCATAACCGGGTTGGCTTCGCTCCCAACTGGTTTGTCACTGGTTGCACCTGGCTGTTGGCCCCCCTGATCCTGGGCGACTCCTCTCTGGTTCAAACGTGGCGGGATTGTGATGGTCTCGTTGCGGCAGGTGTCTGTTCTTCGGGGGCAGTTCGTGATTGGAGAACTCCTGAACCTCCGGGTCTGCTGCCGCTCGTCACTGGCGTAGAGAAATTGAGTGCCGTAGGGTTGAGTCTGTGTCTCCTGAACCTGCTTGGTGGATTCGTTGGTGGGAGGATGCTCCCGATGCGCTGGCTTTGGGCTCGGCTCTCCGCTGCTAACGCCTCGAGGGTTTTGTCTTGCTCTCCCGCCTTCTTCGCCAGCGTCGCCAACATTTCTTTCACCTTGGCTAGGGCAGTCGTGAGCGCCTCGGCTTGCATCTTTGGATGCTGAATTGTATCGTCAGCGCCTCCATCGCCTCGTCTAGCTCCGGTGTTATCTCCGTCTTGTGCTCCGGTGGACATCTCTTCAGATCTCGCGTCTCTCGGTTCATGGGTTTAAGAATTCTTCTACTCTCCCTCCTTCTAGCGCCAAATTGTGTGGGCTGGATTTCACACAATAGAATTTGTCTGTTAAAAATAAAAGAGGACGTAAAGATTCTAAGTTAAAACACGAGAGAACAAAGATCAAAAGATGGTGATATTATTAGTGCTGCTCAGATAAGCTTTTGGTACAAGTATTGCTAAGTCTTTTGCTAGGTCCCAAGATGATCCGCGCTAATGAGTTCAACTCTCTATTTATACAACTCATAGTTCTAATCTAGACGGAGATCTCGGAGTATATTTATGCAGATAATCCTTCCTTATCCCCTTCGCGGCGCCCTCTTCCTCAAGGCTTCGTCTTTTAGGGTAAACACCGCTTCAGACTTTTTCGTGGATTTGGGCTCGGCCCACTTGCACATCGCTTCGCCTTGGGTCTGACTTGGGGCTTCGCCTTATTGCTTCATGGGCCTTCGCCTTCGGGCTTGATTAGAAGTTTCCTCGCCCATACACGGTTTGGGCGAGGTGATTGGCTTCGCCCGGGTTTTGTACGGTTCACCTCGCCGGTGCACGGTTTGGGCGAGGTGATTGGCTTCGCTCAGGTTTTGCACGGTTCACCTCGCCCATGCACGGTTGGACAAGGTGATTGGCTTCGCCCGGGTTTGGCACGGTTCAACTCGCCCGTGCACGGTTTGGACGAGGTGATTGGCTTCGCCCAGGTTTTGCACGGTTCACCTCGCCCGTGCACGGTTTGGGCGAGGTGATTGGCTTCGCCCGGGTTTTGCACGGTTCACCTCGCCGGTGCACGGTTTGGGCGAGGTGATTCGCCCCGGGTTTTACACGGTTCACCTCGCCCGTGCACGGTTTGGGCGAGGTGATTGGCTTCGTCCGGGTTTTGCACGGTTCACCTCGCCCATGCACGGTTTGGGCGAGGTGATTGGCTTCGCCCGGGTTTTGCACAGTTCACCTCGCCGGTGCACGGTTTGGGCGAGGTGATTGGCTTCGTCCGGGTAAAGTCCGGGCATCGCCAAGAATCACTTCTATACTTAGCCATTTTCTCGTTGATCTCGCTAGGGTGAAAACCGACCCCAACAGATTTCAAGGTCCAAGTTATGGCTGATGCAAGGTGAATGCTTTGTTTACTGGATTTACATCTTTTATTATCTTTAAACTGTTCTTGAAATACAGTTATTTAGATATATTGTGTTTTCCTTGTCTCAGTAATTCAGGATTGGCTGAAACTGGGTTTTCAAAGCTCCATTCGAATGTTGAGCGTGGTGATATTGTTGGTGTCACTGGATTTCCAGGTTTGTGCAACCTCTGTTTTTTTGGTCTATTGTTCATTCTTGTTGCATATATCGTCATCCTTTTTGATTGCTCACACTACTATAATATCAGGAAAAACTAAGAGAGGAGAGTTGAGTATCTTCATCCGATCGTTTATTCTTCTGTCCTATTGTCAGAGAAAGGCTGACAATGTTAATTCAAAAGTAAAGCAGATTCACGGTGGCTGTTATAATATCTTAGAGTAACCTTGTTAGTTGTTATACACTAACATGTTTCACCATTTGATGATGTAGAAACCTGAAAACTGGACTCCAGGTCAACCGAGAAATTTTGAGACATAAGTTCTTAAAGATCAGGTAACATCAGTTTTTCAAAGGCTATAAAGATTATTATAGCCTCATACATTACTAAATGTCAGTGTTTTTTTGTTTTGTTCACTTGATGTCCGTTATTTAGATTCTATTGTATCAATTACTCCCTCTGTTTCAAAATAAGTGTCACTTTGACACTTTTCACACAAATTAAGAAAGTTAACAAAAAGTCTTTTCTATCCCTAATAAATACACTAAATAACTCTCTCTTTCTAATTAATATACTAAAATAACAAGGTTAAAACTAGGTATTCTGTTATAAATTTGCATTGGAAACCTAAAACGACACTCTTTATGAAACAGAGGGAGTATTATTTATGTTTCTACCTGGGCAAGTGTTTGATGTCACCTTTTGTTTTGCTCCCTTTCAGGAATCTCGATATCGCTTCCGTCATCTTGATCTAATGTTGAACGTGGATGCTCGCTAGATACTCAAAACGAGAGCTACTATCGCTTCCTACATCCGCGATTCCTTAACAGTAGAAGATTCTTGAGGTTTCTAAGTTTCTGATTTTCTTTCAAATATATATTTGCCTTTTTTGCATTCAAGATCTGGTTCAAGTTTTCTTTCTCAAATTTTTGTTAGGTTGAGACGCCTATGATGAACATGATTCCTGGTGGAGCAGCTGCCTGACCATTTGTGACACATCACAATGATCTAGATATGAGGCTGTACATACGTATCGCACCTGAACTCTATCTCAAGCAACTTATAGTTTGTGGCTACGAACGTGTTTATGAGATCGGAAAGCAATTCAGAAATGAGGGTATTGACCTGACCCACAATCCAGAGTTCACCACTTGTGAGTGCTATATAGCCTTTGCAAACTACAACAACCTGATGACAATGACTGAGGATATGTTGAGTGGCATCGTCAAGAAACTAACAAGGGGTTACACAATCAAGTATCATGCCAATGGTATGATAAGGATCAAATCGAGATCGACTTCACCCCACCATTCAGGTTTGAGGCAATACCTTCATTGATTAAACAACAACTTTCCGTAGGAGCTTATCTTTAGTAATAATCTACTTAAATCTTATGCTTTTGTAGGAGGATCAAGATGATAGGAGAGTTAGAGAACGTGGCTAACCTCAACATACCAAAAGACTTGGCGAAGAAGCTAACAAGTATTTGACTGATGCATGTGCGAGATTTGATGTGAAATGTCCTCCTCCTCAAACAACAGCTCGTCTGCTAGATAAAGTAAAAAAATCTTCCGTCTCTCCCTTATTGCCTGTCTGTGACATCTAGGATATGAAATTTTAATAATGAAATTTCTGTCGCTTTTTTTGACAGCTTGTTGGAGAATTCTCGAAGTCACATGTGTAAACCCAACTTTCATCATCAACCATCCCGAGATCATGAGTCCCTGGGCAAAATGGCATAGATCGAGCAGTGGTTTGACTGAGAGATTCGAGCTGTTCATCAACCAACATGAAGTAAGTAATCTTATGAAATTTAAATCTATCACACATTCTTTCTTTAGAGTTGTTTCACTTATAACACATTATAACTTGACCGCAGCTCTGCAACGCCTACACGGAGTTGAATAATCATGTGGTTCAGCGCCAGCGTTTTGCTGATCAGTTCAAGGATAGACAATCTGGAGACGATGAAGCAATGGCTTTAGATGAGACCTTCTGTAATGCTTTAGAATATGAATTGCCTCCTACAATTGGTTGGGGACTGGGAATAGACAGACTTGCTATGCTCTTAACTGATTCACAGAACATCAAGGTCACTACTCTTTTGCCTCAAAAATTTATCTCTGTGAATTAATTAAATCTTTTTTTTTTTGTTTAAACTCATGATTTGAATAACTGTTGCAGTAGGTTATATTGTTCCCAACAATGAGGCCTCAGGACGAGCCAGCAGCCTTGAAAGGTACGATCTAACTGGTAATTTGGTTTTTATCCACGGTAATTTTTCACATTGGATCACTATTTTATGGTATTTTTTTTTCTTTTTTTTTTGGTTTTGCAGCTCCTTTGCAAGCAGAGAACTAAGGAGAGTAGAGCACAGTTCTCATTTTCATCTCTTTTGCTAGACTAACTTTTGAAGTCAAATTGCAGTTATGCAAGCATAATAATTTTTACAAACATAACTTGTTATTATCACAATTCTCGGTGAGACTTTTTGGAAATTGTTTATTGCTGTTTAATTTTTTTTTTCACGCACAAATGATGAAGAGGAATATAAAGGAATAACAAGTGCATGACCATTTTATACTTGGGTGTGGAATTTTTACATCTTGCTCATCTATAAATGCATTGGCAAACATAAGAATAGAAATGCATTGGTAAACATAGGAATATAAACCGTCTCTAAAATTTTGATATAACGAGAAGAAAGAAGTTCGCACCACGTCAACGCCTAGAAGGCTTAATGAATTTGCCTCTTCCTTTAAGAAGATCAAGTTAAGCCACGAGAAGCGAGTCATGACATGCTTGAACTGTAACAATAAATTATAATGTTTTAGACTGGCTGTTGAACCTGAAGCTAAAAGACGAGGGGGTCGACCAAGGAAATATACTTTGTATGATTGTATAAATATTATATTTCACTGGTATGTAGGAAGGAGGACCACAAGGAGGCACACAAGTTGGTTGATAAAGAGGATGACAAAATCCTGAGATGATTATTCAAGTCTATCAAACTTTGTTTAGTTTTTTTTTTGTTCTATGTTATTGGCTATAACTTGCTTGCCTTTGTTGCATTTTCATATTCTATGTAATCGGCTTAAACTATCAAACTTTTTCGCTAATGTATTCAGACTTTGCTTCTATTTTGGTAAGATTAGATGTCTTATTTGTTGCATTTTGTTTTTTGATATAACTTTCTTTTGTTTTGCTTCGTTGCTTTTAGTAATGGCACGAATGAGTAATGAAAAAATAGGAATTATATTGAAGTCTTTTAAAGTGATTGAAGTCATACACAAGGCCTTACATTTTTGACATTGATTACAAACATAAACTCCAAAGAGTAGACATACAAGTACAATAAAAATCAAGCAAAGACAAGCTTAACTCTTCAACGTCAGCTTTCAGTTTGTAAACTCCATTTCATCACATCTTCTTTATAGTCATAAATGACATGCTTAACTCTTCAACCTCAGCTTCCATATTGTAACTTAAGTTTTAGTGTTACTAATTTTTGGTAATGCATCTTCAACCTCCTCAAGCATGCATTCTTCAACCCACTTGAATAAATGATCCTAATGTACATAAACAAAACAAGTTGGAATATAAAAAAACGGGTTTGTCAAGTTTCTGATTCTGAAAGAAATTATCATTGCTTTTACATGTGTTGCCTCCGCCAGAACAAACAAACAAACAAATGTGGCTTTCTATGGATATATTATGTCGAACATTGTATCAAAGTTCTGCATGTCGAATGCTTGACATTAAATGAGATTCATAATGACAAAACTAGCGTATGTGATGAATTTCAAGAAATTGTACACATCAAAGTTCTGTATGTCTAAAACTTGACCTCCACAAACACATTCCACAGGAAAGCCACGTTTTCCAAAATTACTCTTTCTAAACGAAATTGAATCCATGTTATACCAAAGAAGTTGAAAAAATTCATCAATTAAAAACAACCTACAAAAAGTTAAACGAGAAGAAAAGAAATTCAAAATCAATGTATACAAACAGTTAAAACTTACCAGAATCTCGATATGGATGCCTCGCCAGTAGCTGATTTTGGAGTTCTTTAGAAAATTGGAAAAAGAGACCGCTAGGAAAAAGAGAAAAACAATCGATGGGAAAGCAAGATTTTGTCTGAGAATTGGGGATTTTGTTGTGTTTCTCGTTCAAAGGAAACTACGTCGTCCCGCATAAGGACTACAGTTAACAGCGATTAACAAGTTTTTAGTCTAAATAATATTGACTAAAATTATACCTAATTTATCTTGGTCAACATAAGTTTATATATTTTTTGAGTCACTGAAAAGTCTGTACTTTTTTGGCAAAAAAGATTGAGTTCAGCATTTAAATGACCATTTTCTCTTTTAACAAGTGAGAAATTCTTTCGTATTACTGCCATCGCGGTGAGGCATAAAATTCAATGGACGGAGTTCGGGCAAAGTTAGGAAAGACAAAGTACCAACTATAACAGAAATCTGACCAGAAGTTTCGGAAGAAAAAAAATAAAGACTTTATTGGCAGAAATAGCACTAGCACAACGAAAACTGAACCATAACTTCTTTAAGATTTGAACCCAAAGATTGCATGAGGATATCAACTGTATTGGGAATATTGCAATCCGGGCGAAGGGAGACAATCGACTCTATGTACATCTCGAGCGTGCCCATACAAGTCAGGATACCACCGATCGAATGAACACTAACATTAGCCATCAAAAAAATGATTATTATTAAAATTGTAAGAAAGAAAATAAACAGTTAAAAGAAAAAAAACCAATCAATGTCGATCGGGATTCTACATTACTGAAGTAAAAATGCATAAAGTAACTTTCTTAAATGAAGTAAAATCTGATTCAAAGAATTGAGGGATTGTAAATATTGATCTAAAAACTTTAGGTTTATTTAACCATAAAAGCCAAGAAGTCCACCAACCAAATCAGCAAATTTTAAGTTCACTAAAAATTTAGTTTTATAAAGGAAGAATATTCTTTTGAGCGAATTGGAAAAACTGGGAGTCCAACAATGATAAGTAAAAGCTGTGTTTATAATCGAATAGATCTAAAATAATATATATCATTCATACTATTATTTAAGAAATACATGTATGTTTAAACATAAATCACATGTTATATTACATGGAATGTCGTTGGTTTTTTTGTTTTCTCCATAAATTCATTAATAGTAATTTAGTCATTTGTTAATACAAACAATTGATTTTTTATTTATTTATTTAATTCTTATATACCTATTACCAAACACATTGGTTTTCGTCTACCAAAAAAAACACATTGGTTTTTAAATATTATTTAAATTAGTTTAACTCTAATTACCAAACACATTTAAATAGTTTAAAAAATTCAATAAATAATTATTTCTAAAATTCTAATTAATCTTAGAATTAATTATATCCAAGTTTATATAAAAAATGACAATTATAATTACTATATATGTATAAGATTCAATTATAAACATTTATAAAATATACAACATTTTGTAAAAAAAAAAATTCTTATATTTATTATTATGCAACAATATAATAAACCAAACACATATTTTAATAAGCAAATAACAATTATAATTACGATAAATATATCTAATTAAATTATATATATTTACGCAATATAAAACATATTACAAAAAATTACAAAAAACAATATTCTTATTATCATGCAATAATATAATAGAGTAAACACATCTGTTTGTAAGAAAATAAATTAAGACATCAATTTTATGAATAATTATATATTACTAGATTTTGATCCACGCATTGCATAAAGTTATTTATTATTTTAATTTTAAATTTTAAATTTTATATATTTGTATTATTATTATCTATATATTATATTATTGTGTGTTATATTTATTTTTTATTTTTAAGTGTTTTTTTTTTCCTATATATATATTGTAAATTATTTGTATTAATATAGATTGTGATGTATTAATTATTAATAAATTCTTTAATATATTTATTTGCTCAATAATTGTACACCTTTCAACTATTTGTTTTTAAATTCTCTTTGTTTATATTCGAAATAACATTTTTAAATTTTCTTTCGTAGATAATTTGTAGTTTTATGGTTTGGAAAATAAATATTTATTTTATATAAATGATTTTACTTTAGCTATATACATAATTCTTTCTAAAATATTTTTTTTAAGTTTGATGATTATTCTCTGTAAATTATTCTGTAATTGTTTTGTATTTGTTTGCTTTCCAAATGTTTTTCTACAAATAAAGAATTTGTAATTTTTATAGTTTGTAAAATAAGTATCTGTTTAGAATTTTAATTGATATCATATGAAGGCCCAAAAATAAATACCCAAACCATATAAAAACAATAAAAAGACCAAAAAATATAAAAGCCCACAAAAAATGCTGATGTGAACTTTAGACAGAAAGAAACTCCTCTAATTATATATATATATATATATATTTATATAATATTATCATAGTCTATATAATTTATCGTATAGATAATATAAATAAGGGCAAAAAATTTATATCCGTAGAAATTGGGATACTATATAAAGAGACGAGAGAGATATTGAGAAGATGAGATATGTTTTACAATGAACGAATTCGTTCGCTTATATAGAAGTTAAAAAGAGAATTTTACCGTGCGTGCATAATGACGTGTGCTCCATAATTTATCACGTTTTGCATGCAGCGTGTTTTTGTGACTTTTGCGCATCCTCCTTTGCTGACTTTCATAACACTCCCCCTTCGAGACCAATGTCACTATCGCTTTTTGCTTAACGTCTTTGTTGCCTCGTTAAAAACCTTCCTAGGAAAACCCAGTGGGAAAAACCATAGCCAGGTAAAAAAAGTACAACCACGTAAGCTCCCCCTTGAATGAGCGGGGTGTCATCTTATAGGTCTTGTTGCTGATGCATTCCGATATTATAGACATGCTTTCTGAACACAGTGGTGGGTAATGATTTTGTGAAGAGATCTGCTGCATTGTCACACGATCAGACATATCTTACTTCAATTTCTTTATTCTTCTGGAGCTCCTGAGTGTATGAAAAGAATTTTGGAGGATATGTTTGGTTCTATCACTTTTGATGTATCCTTCCTTCGTTTGGGGAACACATGCGACGTTATCTTCATACAAGATAGTTGGCTCCGTATTTACGTGAATTCCACTGCTTGATCGGATGTGTTGGCTTATTGATCTTAACCATACACACTCTCTGCTTGCTTCATGAAGTGCGATGATCTCATCATGGTTCGAAGAAGTGGCCACGAGAGTCTGTTTCTGAGAGCGCCAAGATATAGCCGTGCCACCGATTGTGAAAACATATCCTGTTTGAGATCTGGCTTTGTGTGGATCTGATAGATATCCTGCATCTGCAAAACCAACCATTTGCCCATCTGAATTTTTAGGGTAAAACAAACCTAAATCAGTAGTCCCTTGAAGGTAACGGAAGACATGTTTAATCCCATTCCAATGTCTTCGTGTTGGGGATGAACTGAATCTTGCTAGAAGATTAACAGGAAATGATATGTCAGGTGGCGTACAATTTGCAAGGTACATAAGAGCTCCAATTGCACTTAGATACAGTACTTCAGGACCAAGTATCTCTTCATTTTCCTCATGTGGTCGGAATGGATCATTTTTAACCTTAAGTGATCTAACAACCATAGGTGTACTTTTAGTGGGAGGATCAAGGTGTAACAATGTTGGTACACTCCACTTTATATCCGTTCCCATTTCTTTATTTTCTCCTCCTAGAACCGGGAATACATTTTCATCAAAATCACAATTGGCAAACCGTGCCGTAAATACGTCTCCTGTTTGTGGTTCTAGGTACCGTATAATTTAAGGAGAATCATAACCAATATATATTCCTAACCTTCTTTGTGGTCCCATCTTTGTGCGTTGTGGTGGTGCTACTGGCACATATACTGCACAACCAAAGATTCTTAAATGAGAAACATTTGGTTCTCGACCAAATGCTAACTGTAATGGAGAATACTTATGATGCGCACTTGGCCTTATCCGAATGAGTGCTTCTGCATGCAAAATGACATGTCCCCATACAGAGGTTGGAAGTTTTGATCTCATGATCAATGGTCTTGCAATCAATTGCAAACGCTTGATTAATGATTCAGCCAAACCATTTTGTGTGTGAACATGAGCTACATAATGTTCAACTTCGATTCCCATTACCATACAATAATCATTGAATGCTTGGGATGTGAATTCACCAGCGTTGTCTAATCTAACCTTCTTAATGGGATAATCAGAAAACTGAGCTCGCAGTTTAATTATCTGAGTTAGAAATCTCACAAATGCCATATTTTGAGATGATAATAGACAAACATGTGACCATCTACTAGATGCGTCAATTAGTACCATGACATAGTGGAAAGGTCCACATGGTGGATGTATTGGTACACAAATATCTCTTTGAATTCGTTCAAGGAACTTTGGCGATTATATATCGATTTTGGTTGGCGATGATCTTATGATCAATTTTCCAAGAGAACATGCAGCACATGTCTTTTTATTTCCCTGATATATCTCCTGGATTTTCAGTGAATGACCATGTGAGCTCTCTACGATTTTACGCATCATTGAGGTGCCTGGGTGACCGAGGCGATCATGCCATAATGTGAAATCATCTGGATTTCTATTGATCACGAGATGAGATTCTACTGCATCTATATAACTATGGTGTAAACCAGAAGAAAGTTCGGGGAACTTTTCCAATATAAGCCTTTTGCCTAATTTATTAGAAGTTATGTACATATATTTCTTTCCGTCCTCAGTTGCAGACTGAGTGTCATATCCTTGAAGGTATATGTCTTTAAAACTCAACAAATTTCTTCTAGAATTTGGAAAGTACAAAGCATTACTTATGGAAAATTTGGTCCCATTAGGCAACGTAAAGCTGGCTTTACTAGTTCCTTCAATCAAATCTACAGGACCTGAAATTGTATTGACAATAATATTTGTCGGTTTCAAACTAGAGAAAAATCTCTTTTGTCTCAGAATAGTGTGCGTCGTTCCACTATCTGGTAAACAAGTTTCTCGAGTCCGTTTCTTGGATATTGTTCAATTCGTATTGCGATCCATTTCTGTAACTAATATAAACATTAATAATTCCAAAGCAAATTTTATTAATATAATAGGAACACACAATAATTATACATTATATTGTTGTCAGAAAAAACATTATTTGTTTTAAAACTGAAATTGTAGTAATTATACATGACATTACTGGAGACTATTCAGTAGTCTCTCTACAAGCATTTTAGTTATTTCTGATATCGGCCTCGTCGAAATCATTTGCAAAGTCGAGGGAAGCGAGGTACGATGTACCCTCGAAGTTTTCAGTGAGGTTCACTTCTTTCCCTTTGCCTTTTGTGGCCTCTTGGTACAACTTGCAAAGATGTGGAGGGGTTCGACATGTGCGGGACCAATGTCCTTTGCACCCACATATGTAACATACATCCTCACGCTTCTGGGTGGGGGCTACTTGGGTTTCCTTCCCTTTGGAATGTATTTCGGATCTAACCCATTTGTTTGATCCCCTTCTCCTTGTGTTGTAACCTCTCCCACGTCTGGGATTAAATCGATGGCCACGACCCTGATAGGTTTGACTTTTCCTTGGATTTTCCATATCAGTTGCATTCACTTCCGGGAATGCTTTGGTCCCCGTAGGTTGGGAATTGTAATTTTTTATGAGGAGCTGGTTATTCTTCTCAGCCAGCATGAGTGTCACAATTAGTTTAGAGAACCTTGTGTATCCGCACTTTCTATATATTTGTTGCAGGACAAGGTGCTCCTTGTGGAAAGTGACATAAGTCTTCTCGAGCATTTCTGCTTCTATGACGAGCTTTCCACAATAATTCAATTGTGAGACTATCCTCAACATAGCAGAATTGTATTCATCCACTTTCTCAAAGTCTTGGAACCTTAGGTTTTTCCACTCTTCTAGAGCATGAGGGAGGATGACACATCCTTCTGGTTGTCAAACCTTTCTTTCAGGGCTCGACATAACTCTGTTGAGTCTTTTATGTGCGCATAGTCATGAGTCACATTTTCATCCAAATGCTTCCTCAGGAAGATTATCGCTTCCGCCTTGTCTGGGGCAGGCGCTTTGGTTCCAGCTTTTATCGTATCAGTAAAATTTTTCATTTCCAGATAAAATTCCACGCTGGTAACCCATGCTATGTAGTTTGCTCCAGTTATTTTGAGAGCCGGGAACTTAAGCTTCTCAATGTTTGCCATTTGATTTTCTAAAATAAAATGACAAATAAGATAATTAGAAATGTGAATTTATTAAATTTAGAATATACGAGGTACCGGAATAAATAACGAGATTACAAGAAAAACTAATGCATAAAACATCAAAATAAAAATCATCACATATTCTTCCAGAGAGAATTCTCCGATGAGTAAACTATAAAAAGTAACGAGAATATAACCAAAATTACAAAAATTAAAAAGAGATGAAGCATTTTTGTTTTATGAAAATAAATGATTTTGTTTGAAAAAGGTTTTGAGTGAAGTGAATGAATAAAATATGAGAGTATTTATAGATGATGAAATACTTTATATTAGCCGTTAAGTAGTCGTTTGAAAAGGTGAAAAACTTTTTAGAATGGTAATTCTTCTTTTTAGAATGTTTTATACTAACTGAAATTAAAGCCCAAGTTTTACCATAGTTTTTCACGAACTTTTTCTATACCACATAAAAGTTATAAGAAGTTTTTTTTTAAAAATGAGAAATGATATTGAAATTGAAACCCGTACATGCAAATCTCAGAATATATACCTAAATGACATATGTGATGCTTTTGTTGGATTTCAAAAAACTGGAAACTGTATTAGTCTTGTTCTCGTGCTTCATCATTGCAGTCGACATCATCTGTGTTCTGATTATTGTCTTCAGCCATAATTGATTTTGAAGGAGAAGAGGGACTGAAGTCTGAACTCTGAAGCTATACAATCGTGTTTGACATGAAAAAAAGAAGAAGACAATGATGTCAATTATATAAATCAACGATATAATCAGAGATTAAAACAATAAGGAAAGAAAACACAAGAGAGAAGATTTACCAGAAAAACAAATCATATTTGATTACTAATGAAAACTAAACGATTTAGTGCATATGATAAATTTTGCTGAGAAAGAAACGTGACTGGCTTTTGTTTATCACTGATCCAAATATATAATAATAATTCAATTCTAAAAAGTTAAGATCGTGGTTTTGAAATAGATAAAATGAAAATAAAAAAATTGTGGATTTGAAAGAGATGAAGTCGAGAATTAAGGAATAATGAGTTTGAGTAGTTAAAATTTGTAATTATTCTTAATAAGAAATCCAAAGATATAAATAATTCAAATTCTAAAAAGTTAAGATCGTGGTTTTGAAATAGATAAAATTGAAAATAAAAAATTGTAGATTTGAAAGAGATGAAGTCGAGAATTAAGGAATAGTGGGTTTGAGTAGTTAAAATTTGTAATTATTCTTAATAAGAAATTTAGAAAAATAAATATTAAAAAGACACATGTCAGATGGACAATTGCCAACTGACTTGTGCTTTATAAGTATAAAGATATTTAGCTGTATTATAGAGTGATCGTGCTGATAACGTGTTATAATAGACTATATAATTTATCGTATAGATAAATATAAATAAGGACGAAAATTAATACCCGTAGAAATTGGGATACTATATAAAGAGACGCGAGAGATATTGAGAAGATGAGATGTGTTTTATAATGAACGAATTCGTTCGTTTATATAGAAGTTGAAAAGAGAATTTTACTGTGCGTGCATAGTGACGTAGGCTCCATAATTTATCTTGTTTTGCATGCAGCGTGTTTTTGTGACTTTTGCACATCCTCCTTTGCTGACTTTCATAACATATATAATTTATTATATATTTAGGTGCAATCTAATATCAATTCCAATTTCGATTAAATTAATTCAAATTTAAAGCACCATGATTAATTAACAGTAACTGACAATAACTATAAAATTTAATTCAGTTTATATATAGTTCTATCAAATATCTAATTAATCGATTGCACTAAATATTGTGGTACTTTATTAATATTCGATCACCAAAATTATGGAGCAAGCTTTCTAAATAGAAATGAAAAAATAATTAAAAAACAGTAACTGCATAAATTTAAAGCATATTCTAAAAAACATGGATTTTAGCATATTTTCAAAAACATTCCAAACAATATTGATAAATTTTTATTGTGGATGTAATAAAACGTCATATTAATAATAATAAAAAGTCACCAAATCAATAAAAAAATTTCATAACTCACAATTAACAAAATAGAACCATTTATTATAATATTATTTCAACAAATTATGAGAGAATTGAAAACAGTGACTTACGTTATCTTATTTTTTCTAATTTTCTGGCTAACACTGTTCTCTAATTAGATTTTCCAAAAGAAATGTTATCCAAACATCAATATTTTTTAGTTAAAATTAATTTTATTCGTGTTTTTTTTTTTCAGTTTGTTTACTGTGTACATGGTTGTTATGTTTAATCTTTTTAGCTTTTCATTTATCATTCTTTTATTTGAGAAAGAAGGAGAACAAGAAAAAAATAAGAAGGCGAAGAAGAAAGAGAAGAAGAAGGAGAACAAGGATAAGGGATGGATGAGAAGAAACGTGGATGATGAGAAAAAACAAGAAGAAAAGGAGAAGAAGTGATGAAGAAGAAAAAGAAACAAAAGAGAAGAAGAAGGAAAAAAAAGGAGAAGAAGGGATAATAAGAAAGGATGAAGAAGAAGAAGAACGAATGAGAAGAAGTAGAAGTGATGAAGAAGAACCCCAAAGAAGAAGAAGAAATACCGAGAATATGAAAAAAAAAACCGAAAAAGAAGGAGAATGGATGAAGAAGAAAAAGGAATGAAGAAGGACGAGAGGAAGAAGAAGGATAATAATGAAAAGAAGGGACAAAGAAAAAAAGGGATGAAGGAGAATATGAATAACATAGAAGAATAACAAGAAGGGAGAAGAAGAACAATGAAGGAGAAGGAGAAGAAGGGATGAAGAAGAAGAGGGAATGAAGAAGAAGAGGTGATGGAGGAGAAGTCGAAGGAGTAACCAAGTGTCGTTAGCTCGACTCGTAAAGGATCCTAGGCAAAGCTTAGGGGTCACATGATCGAGTGACACTTGGGATAAAACTAATATTACATGATATGGTTTCGAGTCTGCAGAGATTGCAGGCTTCGGTCCAAAACCTCATGGTAATCCAAAAAGAAGAAGAAGGAGAAGAACGTAGAAGAAGAAAGGAGAATAAGAAAATCGAGGGAGAAAAAGGAGAATGAGAATAACAAAAATAGGTAAAGGAGGAGAAGAAGAAAAGATGAAGAAGAAGGGGAAAAAAAAAAGAGAAGAAGGTGGAAAATAAGGAGAAGGATGGATGAGAATGAGGATGGATGAAAAAGAATAATAACAGAGAAGAAGAAGGAGAAAAAAAAAGAAAAGAAAAGGAGAAGAAGTAATGAAGAAGAAAAAGGAACGAAGAATAAGAAAAAGGAGAAAAAAGAGAAGAAAAGGAGAAGAGGGAGAAGAAGGAGAAGAAGGGATCACAAGAAGGGATGAAGAAGAAGAAAAATGAAGGAGAAATAAAGAAGAACCACATAAAAGAAGAAGAACAACAGAGAAGATGAGAAAAAAAATGGAGAAGAAGATGGCATGGCATGTAAGAGGAAGAGAATAAGAAGAAGAATAATATGGAGTAAAAAGGATGAAGAAAAAGATGGGATGAAGGAGAATATAAATAACATAGAAGGAAGAAGAAAAAGGGAGAAGAAGAACAACGAAGGAGAAGGAGAAGAAGGGATGAAGAAGATGAAGGGATGGAGGAGAAGGCAAATGAGTAACCAAGTGCCGTTAGCTGGACTGGTAAAGGATCCTAGGCAAACCTTATATATCACATGATCGAGTGATGCTTGAGATGAAACTAATATTAGATGATATGGTTTTGGGCCTGCAGAGATTGTAGGGTTCAGCCCAGAACCTCATGATATTCCAAAAAAAAGGAAGAAGGAGAAAAACAGAGAAGAAGAAAACGAAGGAGAAAAAGGAGAAGGAGAAGAAGAAAAGATGAAGAAGAAGTAGGACAAACAAAAGGAGAAGAAAGAATTGTTGGTGACAGTTTCCATCATGACGAGATCAACAAAGAAAAGGCTAAGTATAGAAATGAGTCTATCTAAACCGGAGAGGTGGTAAGCCTAATTAACAAGCCGAACTGGCAAACCGCCGAGCCGAACTGGCAAACCGCCAAGCCGAACTGGCGAACCACCGAGCAGAAACAACAAGCCGGGTCGATTGAGACGGATCAAACCATTCATGTCCGCCGAACCGGATAGGTGGACCGAATCAACAGAATAAATCGAACCGATGAGTAGAGGTCAGCAAAGATGTGCCAAATCCCAGACCGAGCCAAACTATTTCGTTGTCAAACCAGAGAGATGGGACGAATAAGCTTGTAGAACCGAACCAAAAATATAAAACAAGTGGGAACCGAGCCATTTCTCTAATGGGTCTAGGCATGATGAACGAGGCCCAATATGAAGCAATAAACATACGAGCCGAGTCATAAGCCCAAGAAGACATTTAAAAGCGGGATTTGCCCTAGAAGGACTTAGCCTTGCGGAAAGGGGCTCCGTAAAAGAGAAATAGAAGGAAACTTATGACTATTATATTCACCGGGATTCCCGCTTAGGTTGTAGAAAGAAATGAATAAAGAGGAGACATAATCTATTGTAAAAAGGGCGGCTGAAAAACCTAACAAAACACTTGATCAAAAGCTTAACTAAATAACAATAACAAAAACACCACCTTTGGATCAGTGTTCTCGTGTTTATCTTTGAATCCCCAAGTCTTTCTTTTATTGTTATGAACTAAACTCCATTGTGAGAATTCCGCCTCACACAAGGATATAGGAGAAGAAGAAGTGATTAAGAAAAAGAAAGAAAAGAAGTTGAAGAAAGAGAAGAACAACAATGGACGATACGAAGGAGACAGAAATAATAATAATTATAAGAAAAAGAAGATAAAGAAGAAGAAGAAGAAGAAGTGATGAAGGAGAAGAAGAAGTAGAAAAAAAGAGATGAATAATGAAAAGAAAGAGAAAAACTTATGTATTTATTAATAAAATATTTATTAAGAAAAAAATATAAATTAATAGATAAATTATATTCTTACTAAAAAGTAAATACACTTTTATGATACAAAATATATATTTCTATATAAAAAATATACTGTAGTTAAAAAAAATTGTAACTAAACATTCAAACATGTAAAAAGTCTAATACAACATAAGAACGTAGGTTTCATATAAAATCAGTAATATATTATATTTTTAAAACAAACTCGTGTGTTTACAAAATTATTTTCGATTTTCATAACATATATAATAAATTTGTAACTCATATAATCATTAAATAAATACATTTTAAACCTCATTTTTGTGGATACCGAAATCCACACTCAGAAATTTATGTGTTTTTGTAAGGAATGAAACTTAGGAGAATTAAGAGCTAGATTCTCTCGAACAGATTGACTGTATAAGCTAGCACTAACTGAAATAAAGACTTGATAATAATTGGTTGGATGAAATGGTTACAAAAATTTCGATGGAAAAGACGAATTGAAAAGAGCTTTGAGAGCAGTTACAGGGTTTTCGTGTGTAAAAAGTGTAGAAGAAGATCAACCCCAAAAGTCCTCCCAAACTAAGCTGTTCGTCTCCTTTATATAGCTCTCCTTGTCGA